TTTCACAGTTCGCTTTTGAGTTGAGAATTACAGCTAGGGAAGAAAAAGTAAAAAAATCCTTTCATGGCCCCTTGAACACGGATATGTGTGCTACAGCAGATAAAAATATTAACTTTTTGCGTGCCGGTAAAGTGCCGGACGACCACTTGGTTTGTCGGCTAGACCACCTCATATCTGGCGTCCGTCTCTTTTAACAATCTTCTGGAGACCACCATGTTGTCCTTCTTGGTTTAACCCCGTTGACTGTTCATCGCGCAAACGAGGGTGAGACCGTTGTCGACATCGCTCCTCGCCAGTCGGTGAGATAATCTCATCTTGAATGAATGATTTGGTCTTGAAGAAGTATGATGCTAAGCATACATTCGCTTACTATGAAGCAGTCGAGCAGCAGTCATGTCTCGAGGCAATCGTCCTGTCGTGGCCGGCGTAATCGGACTTTGTTCCATAGGAGCGATGTCCGAAAGTACAAGGACGGTACGTACGTCTCACGAAGCAGCCGCCATCCCGGCAGCGCGGAAAACCACTCGCCTTGTCCGTGCACCCATACGGTACTTAGCAGATCTCGTTGTCATTGGCTGCAAATCGTCTCACTTCACAGAAGAAACAGGGACCATTCCTCTAGCGGCCCGTGCAGTACCGCCATGCCAAGCGTCTTTTACCACTTTTTAATGAACGAGTGGAGCTATCAATTAGAAAAAAGTTGCCGTCTGGTGTCGCTAGCAGCACTGTTACCTTGGCAACCTCCCAGGCCCAAACTGGAGATCACTATCGGTGCTTCTGACGTCGTGCACCTAGATAATTTTGCGTCGTGTCGCTACTCTGGCAGCTACGAGTGGCTCTAGCGCACACCACCTCGGAGCACGTGGAGCGGAAGCTCGCGCTTCGGAACCCAGGGATCCTGGGTTCAATCCCTACCCTTGCCCGTTTCGATCTGAATGAGCATCGTACCGGCGTGCGGTCGTGTATCACTACTGCGTGGTGGACGTTAAAGACCCCAGGCTAGCGGTTGTATATACCGCACTGGCTAAATTTCTTATCTACAGCTGGGAGACTCATCGCCCGTTGAGGCAAACCATGCAAGTTCTGGGCTGTGTAAATATACACACAACCCACATTTTTACCACGTTCTCGGTTTCTATTTTTTCTTCACTCAAACTTTTTTTTTTTTTTCTCGCGTTCTGATTGCGTGAAACGCAGCTCGCAGTCGTTAGTAAGAAGACCGCGCGTTCGCATGAGCGGTGTGCCGTTTGTCATGATGGGGCTGCTGCTTTCGTGTCTGCTCCTCTTTGCCACTGCCCTGTATTTCACGTAAGTATACAAAATATAATATACGCCATACCATAAAAAGAAGAAAAAAACAGCTACCGTAAAAGCGCGGACTTATACTGCTGCTACACCATACAAACGACAATCTACAGACCCTGTCTGAGGCCTGTTTCTTTCTCGCATGACGTTCACATCTTGGTCATACGAAACTTGCCTGCAAACATGTTCATGCACTGTATATACAGGGTGTATGAGTGTGTGATTTCGTTTTAACTTAACATATATATGTTTAGGAAAAACCGTGTAATTTACACAATTGCGATTTGTGCAGGTGAGTTGCACGGCCAGGGGGAACATAGCATAGGAGGCTAATCGTAACGATCATTTGGCTAATTCATTAAAATTCGTTAATTAACTTTTTAAATAATAAAATTAGACATATGGTCCCAACTAGAAACTTGCTCAGCGTCATCGAAAACCACTAAATCGACTCTTTTAAGAAGCATAACGCAGGGGCAGTATATTACGGCGCTCCGTAAAAACGCTCAATTTGGACGCGTTTCTAGGTTTCTGTTTTTTATCGGAGCGCATTACCGCGCCCGCGGTCCTGCTCCCCAGTGGCTGAGACGCGCAACACACGTACGCTCTACTTCCCTCCATTCTACGAGGCAGGCAAGGGGTGGCTTCGCGCCGCGACCACCGGGGGGCAGGACCGCGGGCGCAAAGATGCGCTCCGATACGAATGTGCTTTGCTTCCTGCATATTCCATGCTTTAAGAAATTATAATGCAAATATTCACCACACCCTGACGGATTGTTTTTTAACGCAGTTGGCAAAAATGTTATTGAAACTCAATCGCAAAAATTCAATTGAAACACTATTATTGAATTATTGAATTATTGATTGAAATATTGAATTAAAATGCAATTGCTAAAAATTTAATTGAACGCAGTGGCCAATCACTCTGCAGGTTCAATATTACTCAAAAGAAAAATACCTATTGACTTTCAATTGAGACTCAACGCGGTGTACGAAGTGTATCCTTTACACTTTCACTCTAAACTCCTTTCATTTTTTTTTGTTGTTGTTGTTGTTTTTTTTTGTAAGGGCCTGTTTAACCCCTCATCTCGCAGTCACAAAAAGCGGCCACGTCATCTGGAGCAGATTATACGCCGCCAATATTTTTTAAAAATGACACACAGAGATGTCGGGCAGGAAGGTTTCTCACTTTGCACCAGCTTACTCGCACTACACACTAAACGTCATTACACCCTTGAGGGTGTAAATGACTTGTCCTATAACTAACACCCTTGTTGGCGTAGCAAAACGCCCTAAGAAAAGGGCGTATTTCCTAACTTGCTCCCTTCTTACACCCTTTTTACACGATTATGGGTGTCACAATGTTTAGTATGTAGTGGGACCCAAAAACGGCCACGCCACTCGCCAAGAAGCGACTTCGTCGGGGTGGAATTCTGAGGATAAAAGCGGAACTTTTCTTTCTGTCCCAAATGCGTGTCGAGGCAGCGATTGTCACGAGCCAAAATCGAATGCCTATACGCAGACTTCGAGTCCACTGTACGAGCAGCATTTAAATATCGTCACAGCGGGGATCGCAAACCTTGACGACACACTCCTGGGGGATCGCATTGTTGTCATTGTCCCCACAGCTCCGTCATCAAATTTTGCGAAGGAGAGGCTGAGAGAGAAGATCTGCCTTTGTCTTTGGAAATCCACCGCGACGATAAAGGCCGGTTCAGACACTTGCGTTTGAGTGCGTTTGACTGCGTTGCGCCGAGTGCGGAAAGCTAGTCACCAGCACATCTGTGCTTCGTATGAAGCGTGGAATCCAATCCAAGGAATCATCTTGGCACGCGATATAAGCAGCAGGGATGTCCTGGTTTCTCGCTGCCGCAACGCAGTCAAACGCAGTCAAACGCAACTGTCTGAACCAGGCTTAAGACGCTTTTTGGTCAGTGGCGTTGCGTTCGAGTATTCTTGGGTCCCTCTATGTAAGCTGAGTGCAAAGTGAGAAACGTTCCTGCCCAATATCGTTGCACACGGCCCCTTTAATTTGTGTTTCATTGAGAATGAGGCGGTGCCCAATGCAGTCAGGGAAAGTACCTTTACGAACTCGTGGCACTGATGTCGCAGCGATAGACCATATAGTTAGTACAATATGTACGCTATAGAGGTTTGACTGATGCAAGTGTACTTTGACTGAAGACAGCCACCAGTTAAACATTTACATCCTATGGGGAAAAGCGGGTCCCTTTTTTCTCAGCTCTTGATTATAACTTACGAGAGAAAATATTACGACGACAAAATATTATAACGCAGTAAATAACTTAAACAATTCTCAATATCGTAAACACATATATTAAACAGTTACAGTGTGTTGCTTTTTTTTTAATTTGTGGGAATAAACACAGTGCTAAAACGGCTCTATATTGCATATATGTGCACTGTCGGACACTATTAGCGCCAACACGGCGTCCGCGCTTTTTCTAAAGATGGGATTTCCGTGCCAAACCAACGATGGACATCTATAGAAGACCAAGAGAGACGGCGAGAACCACGCCTTAACATTGATTCAGTAATCCGTGCATGAAGACGATCAAAATAAAGTGAACGCCAAGGAAGCATGGCCCTTTTTGCAATAAATAAGTATTGCCTTAATCTCTCTGCTCGTGTATATTGGCGAAGATGCTTCTTCTGCGCTCAAAACATCACACGCGCACACTCAAGTCTAAAAATACGGAAAACCCAGAAAACCGCTTCCCGACAAAGGCTGCTCGCCATAAAAAAAAAAAAAAAAACTAATATTAAGGAAAACTTGCATAGCCGAAGTACTTCCTTTTTTACGCTTCTAGAATCTACAACCGCTCGTCAAGATAAACGAGGGGCTCATTTTCATATTTTGTCAGGACTGTGACATCAGCAATCGCTTGTTTTAAGACACCTGCTGTAGAACACAGGGTTGAGCTTGAAATATACAGACGTTTCACCATCGCTCATTGTTAAATACAAATACTGTAACTAAAGCAATTACAGCCTTAAAACGATAATAAAGTATTTACTATTTGGAAGGATCCAAATAACAAAAGCGATCCACGTTTGATTGTCCGGCGAAGAGGCCGAATGCACCTGCGTTTTCCCATAGGAATGCACAGGAGCAGCACGAAAGAAGACTGGTTGCTCTCTGCTTCAGTTTGCATCCCGAAAGTTGCGTAGACACTAGCGCCAGTTGAACCTTTAGCGTACATTATACTGACACTTTGCGACGGGTCCCGACACCGCAAGGTTTTTCTATCCTGATGATGGCCAGGCAGAGACATCAGAACCGTTACCCTTTTCTTTTTTCAGTCGGGCACCGCCTCATTCACTGTAAGCAAACCTTTTTTTTTTTTTTGTGTGTGTGTGTGTGTGTGTGTGCACCGCCGTGCATTACCTGCGCCTACGGGTTCCGTGTACCCCGCGAATGGAAGTTGCTGAGTGCGGCTCAATGGAGCATGTGACAGCTATCTGGTGCACACCAAGTGCGCACCCATGAACCCAATGGAAGATGCCATATAAATGTACACCTTTTTTTACACTCTTTAGGGTGTGCATTGCTTCCAGTGTGGAATGTAGAATGACTAGACCGCATTTTTACTATAATTATTGCTGTTTCATTATGATTTTCTTTTTTATCAACTTAGCTGGCGGAAACGGAAGTTCACGCTCTTCGAGACTTTCGGGATTCCTGGACCAACACCAAACATTATCAGCGGCAATTTGCCCGAACTGGTGGAGAAGGTATGATTGATTGAGATACCCGACTGCCTAAAATACCCCCCTCGTCGTTTTGAGAAAGAGACGAAAGCACGAAGTGGCGTCAAAACGCCAAGCCTTGGTCGGAATGATTAGTAGGACCTAGAGTCACTGGATGTTTCCAGACTATCGCATCTGACAACGCCCGCTGTGGCTGTTCCCATTTAACTTTGATCGGCTATTTTGGGACCAAAACGTATACGGTGATACGCCTAGCCCCCGATCTCCCAAGCAGACGCGCCGCGAAATAATGCCCAAGTTAGGACGCACCCGGGTCGGGACCTGATATCACCGGTGAGACATGGTTGCATAAAAACAATACCAATTGTGCCGCAAGACCTTGTAAACTAGAATTTTAGCAAAACATCACGCTCTTGTCATCTTGTTCTAATCTCCAACAAAAATTCCAACAAAAAGCTTTTTCCCGTTTGTCCTTACGCAAAAAAGTGCTTTCCAAAAACTCGTAATGACCACAAAAAAAAAAAAAAAAAAGAATGAGTTGTTATTTTGGCGTTATCGAGCCTACGAGCTTGGGTACTCTGGAAGCATTCAGCGAGTGTAAGTAGGCCTAAAGCTAGCTGCCTTAGTCTAAACTAAACTCGTCGAATGCGTTCGAACGCAGAACACCGGAGTTGGGCTCTTGCATTCGAGCGTATTCGACGAGTGCTCTTACAGACAAATGTGGCTAGCTTTAAAAAAGAAGGACCGAAAGTAAGGCACTATATACATTTTTTTACTAGAAATGAACTATTAAAGCTTGATTTTTCTGTTTCTCGATTACCTTTTAGGGAATTGTGGTGACATTCAAAGAATGGACGCAGAAGTACGGGTCTGTCGTAGGGTACGTGAACGCTCTCACTATTATCGATAAGATTATAGCAGGCTTGATCCCACTTGCAAGCCCACTGATCGCGCAGTCATACGTGCGGTTATTACATTAAACCTTAGAGCGGTACTTGCCCCTCAATCGGTGGTACCGAAGTCAGTGTGTATAATGGAAATACATTCCAGTGGCTAAGTTTGCGATCTTCACCAGTTCTGAATAATATTATAGTTTCTATACAGGGTTTCGTGTTTTCGGTAAGTACCGATAGACCCATCAAATTAACCCTCCAGGTAATTTTATAAAAATCGAGGAAAACAAATTATAGACCTTTATCTTTTAAGTCCTGTAATGTATTAAATAAATAGCATTTAAAGGGCAGAAAATCTTTATGTATACAGTTTTACTTATGTCGACTCGAAACACAGCCCGGGTGGGAGGCTGCTTTCCGGCTTAATTCGGTATATGCCGAAAACACAAAACCCCATTAAATAAAATGACTTCTGAAATAATTTTCAAATTTAAGTAAAGCTTTTTCATGCTCCTTGCGTCTTTTTAGATTTTACAATGGAAGAGTGCCCATGGTGTTAATCAAGGACCTCGACGCTATTAAACAAATTCAAATCGCCAAGTTTAAAGGCTGCAGTTCCCGCGGGGTAAGGTGGTTTTCTCGTTCTGGACGCTTCACACCCTTCGCACTCACTACAGCCAACTATAGATAAAAAATACACTGAAACCCTCCAAAAAACATTTTTTTTAATTTTTTGCCAGGTGATTTAGTATAGTACCAGGAGACTACCCAATCAATATTTTACTACATAGTCCCGCATATTTCAATAAAGCCAAAAAACTCACTGCTCCAAACCGAAACACGAGCACGGAAGCTCATGGCCGGAAGTCACGTGGCTACTCCCGATCACGGTATTTTTTTTTTCTCCGCTTCTGCGACGTGTGAAGTAGACAGCGAAGTTGCGGGCATCGTTTGTCGCGCGATTGTTTCGCACTAATATCCCTTCCGCTCGATGTTCTGCGCATGAAGAATCGATCGGCCGGGACCAGGAACGACGGTTTCGAAGTAGCGGCCCCACGTCCGTCGCAACCACTGCCCTCTATTGTAGTATACTGGAGCCTGGATCGCGGATCGCCAGCCTGTCGGTGGCAGCACCGGGGGCCACTACTTAACACCAGGCAATGCACGCGAGTCTATGAGAGAAGCACACAAAAGTAGGCATACTGAAGCTTGTACGCAGTGCTCGAAGGCGAGTTTATTATTACATGCTTCGATCATTGTGTCAGGTGTTTGCAGTTAGAATCGGTATTTTTCGAGCGTTGGAACACGGATTAAAACAAAATCAAACGTGCCGGAGCACCCTCGGCTGAGCTGGCAAGCCTAATCTCTTATTGGAGTAAACAAAGGAACTTGCCGTTCAATAGGACCGTTCTCGGGGAAGCCCAGAACTTGATGAAAGTCGAAGTTCCCTCTTGACAGCGGCTTTCCGGGAGTGAGTGAATTCCGGGTAGCAAAGCCTACAAATTTGTCGTCTGCTGAACCCAACTCATCGAAACGGCCACCGACTCCGCGATGTACTCCACGTATAACTCTTGTCTCATTAAGCTGCACTACATTTGTCGCCAAGCGGAGTCACTCTTGACCACGAAACATTAATTTATAAGAACTGTGAGGGCTGTCAGTTTTAATGTTCGTGCACAAGCTACTTGAAAGGCTTCTTGAAAAAGAGCCAAAAGGTTTTAGTGCCGACAACGCCTTAGAAACAGGGGATGCGCCATTTTTGTCTCGTTTTTCGTATAGGGTTCCATGGTCCCATGCATTAGCTGGTGTTAACTGATGACTGTTGGTGGTGGCACTCGATCACAGCAAGACAAGCCTCGGTCCGCGATCCAGCCGACTACAGTAGAGAACAGTGGTCGCAAAGTTGGTTCGTCGTGCGCCGCCATCGCGTCGTTCAGCCCGCGGTATGCCTGCGATACGTCGCCATATTGAGAATGACGTGTATTTTTGGTGGTCTGTGCAACATCCTTTTTTTTTTATCCACGTATTTGCAGTTTTTTGGAGGCCACACAAATCGGGTTGGTATTCTTTTCTATTTCCTTAATATTGAATGCTTGCGTTAGATGACCCACGACTTTGAATATATTTGGTGCACATCGTTTGAACACCACGTGACCAGGGAAAAGAAAGTGAGCGCGACTGAAACCGGTCGATTCTCGACCGGGTGTTTTCGATCGGGAAGAAAACGAATTTCGAGCCGCCGATTGCGTTCTGGGAGGTTGGGCTCTTATAGGCCATGTTTAAATAAAAACCTCGGCGAGCGTAAATACCCTGTCGGTGTCCCTTTAGGAAGGGCTGAACTTGCAGCTAGTCCCAAGCATTATCATCGCTCTCCAGCCAGTAAGACTATCAGCCGATGAGTAAAGCCGCAGAAACAATCTCAAAGCAAGAAACACAAACGTCAAGCCCCGCGTTTCTTATGAGGTCTCGGATCTTCTCTCAACATGACGGGTTGCTTTTCTGCAGATCACATCTATGCTCTCTGTTCATCATCCTTTCCGAAAGTTACATATCTTCAACGCTTCGGGTCAGAAATGGCGGACCATCCGTGGAGTGTGCACCAGATCATACAACTCCAACCATCTGAAAAAGGTATAATTGGTTGCCTGAGTAGACAGCTATACTTCTGGGCATGGACTCATTGAACGTAGTGGGCTCCCATGTGCGTGACAATTGAGGCTGCACACTTGCGTCTGCTTACGACTGTATGCCTTAGAACCTCTTAAAATTTCTTCTATAGTAACCAAGACACCAGAACGATAAAAAAGGGGCCAAACAACGAGTCTCAATGACGAAACAATTAAAACCATGTAGAATACTCAAAAGTATTAGCATAGTCTTTCCCACACGTTAAAGTATAAATACTGTCATTTTAACATACTTATACTCCTTCTTGGTATGCGAACGGAAAAGGAGACGAGGGACACACAAAAACACGTCGGACACGGACAGTGTTTTTGTGTGTCCCTTCTCTTCTTATGCGTTCGCATACCAAGATGTTTAACCAACACGCCCTTTTAATTTTATATATACTAATACTGTCATATTAACATAAACAATCCTTCCAGGCTTGCCCATGTTAATACCTTTGAGTATTCTACCTGGTTGCAATCCGTGTCGTCATGGAGACTCGTTTTAGTTTGTCCATTTTTTTATTGTACCGTGTCTCAGGTTACTATGGAAGTTCTTCACCAGCTCGCCAGTGGTTTTGCCCTCTCTTCGATAAAATTTCTTACGACGAAAGAACACACTGGCACCACCTATCGGGTAGCCGTGGAACATTCGGCATTTCCGTATATCTCATGTCGAATATTGAACAGCAGTCTTATCAACCGTATATCTCATTTTAATCGCGCATCATCCTTCCTTTCTTGGCTCGAAAGACTCATGACATTGTTATAAACGATCATTTCTCGTAAATAGTACGTACTTTTGATCTGGGAAACGTCGCAGTACCTTCGCTGTAGTAAAGTGAAGTTCCATGATCAACACATTGATGCCGCCAGCCTGCTAGATTGTTCTTTGGTCGTAAGAGATTTCAAGAGCTCGGTCGTAAGCAAACGCAAGTGCGTGAACCAGCCGATACACGAGAGGTATGCGACGTTCCCGTTTCAGATGTCACACCTCCTGGAACGCTGCACGGATGAGTTCTTGGAAGTCCTCGAAACGACGTGCACCCAAGACGAGTCCATCGACACCTTAGCCATATGCAAAACCTTCGCGGCGAACACGATGCTTCGGACGGGATTCAGCTTCAGGATGGACGAGCGAGACAAGACCGGATGGGAAGTCAGGGACTACGTCACTCAGCTCGCACTTCGGAACATCGCCGTCTTCCAGGAGGGATTCCTGCACTGGCTTTCAAGTACGCATCCGTTGTTTGTTTGTTTTTTGTTTTGTTTTTTTATCATTGTATCGGACAATTTAAATGAAACGCAGGGCTTCGCCTATCGTGATCCTGCTCCTTACTCCTTGATTTGTTCATCGGCGGCCTGGTCGGCTGATTCCGCCAGGATATCCCATTGACTGCGCAGCGATCAGCAGATGTTTAGAACGGCACCGCGATGTGATGAAGGCTAAAGTCCCCAGATAAAAGCTTCCTCCAAGTAGCGACATTCTTTGAAGCGCCGACTACGTGACAGTGCAGGATTTAGGAAGCGAATGGCGGCGCACAGTGGCGGTTTGAACTTCGTTGCTTGGGGGAAGGAGTACCAAGAGACCTCAATGGAGGCAACCAGGCAGCGCCCAAAACTGCCTCGTCAAGGGCAGTCATCGTCTTTCTGCATCCGCCCTGTCGCCGATTAAACTAATCAACCATGATCCTGCGCTTGTATCTGTGCTTGATCGTTTTAGCTGGTGATCACAAACCCCCCCAAAAAAACGATCATCGTGATGCTGCGATTTTGGGCGCTGTTTGGTCGTGAACCGTTGGCGCGGTTTCACTTAAAAGTGAGAATGAGTATGAAATATGAAGTTTCTCTCGATTAGATTAGCTCTCCACTTTACAAGAGGGCCGCCGTCATACGGGCGGGCTTAACTCGGCGATAGATTTTCTGCTAAATTACCCGAGCCTTAAAGGGGTCATGAAACGATATTGGGTTGGAATTTTCACTGCTTTGCAGAGGCGTACTGGTCCTAGTCTGGCCCAAGCATAGTCGCACCGACCGCCGTTGATTCAGGAGGTTCTTTGTTGTGGTGAAATGGCGAGGATAAAAGGGGACGATTTCTTTCAGTCTTGCCTCCACGAAGCTTGATGACTTAATTGTGGGACCGAAACCACCCGCCTGACGACAGTCGAGCGCGGTTTATGGATTGGACAAGAGAATTGCGTGAGCACTCGACGTCGGCTCGTAACAATCAATGCCTCCGCGGACACTTGGGCAGTGGCTCGTGTCCAACCACTACGGTAATGACAATATCCGAACTCACAAGGCCTGGAGCTCAGCACGCGTTTCCTAATTTTCCAACGCCAGCGCGTGGCTATGATTAACCTTTACCACCGTGGGTACCAGTGTTGCGGAATGGGCACCCCCATTCCACTCCCATTCCATTCCGGGGAATTAGAGTTTTCGCTAATTCCATTCCTTTCAACTCCTAGGAATTGAGACACTGGGCCCATTCCCACTCCTGGAATGGCTGAATCGTTCCATTCCATTCCTCTAATTCCTAAACGTTAAAAGTGTCACTTGACAGCTGCATTATGTTGCAAGGTTGGGCAGAAATATTCAAAAATGTATTCGGAATTACAAATACTGGGATAGGTGAAAATAGTTGCTAAGATACTGATACTCAAGTCTCAAATATATCTGTGAAAATGTATCGAGATTCGTATCGGAAATACATTCTTAAAAGAGGCAAAAATTCTTTGGCAATGCAAATACAAGATTACATTTTAGGGAGGGCAGAAATATATCTACTGATAATGCAATACATTTTTTCAAATTTCTTTGAGACACCAACTGAGATGAAGCTTTAAGTTTGAAGTAGTGTTTTTTTGTTTTTTTTTTTTGGTCCCAAAATTACTTTTTCGCATTCTTGGCACTTCGCCTTGAGGGTAGTGGTTCCGAACGAAGAGTCCTCAATGGGTTTAAAAAAACGCTCCATGAAGGACTGACTGCGGTCCCTTCCCTGGCATCCTGTCTGTCTGACCATGGTGATGCGAAAAGACTTCGACCTGTAAAAAAATTCCTTCAAAACATCACCACTTTCCTGCCCCTGTCAGCACTGATGACATGACGTCACGTTGGGATGAACTAGTATTCTTGAATCTGTAGGTGATGCCTTGAACATGAAACTTTACGCACGCTGCTGTATGAAAGTACAATACGTGCTTTCGTTGTAGGTGACCTCGTTGAAGACCATGCAGGCAGTTGCATTTGGAATTTTTGAGAAAAGTGGACAACCTGAAACATCCTGAAGCAGATGTCTTATCTTCTTTTACGGTTGAAAAATCGATACGGTGGCATTCCTGTTGTGACGGTATTTCCTGCCGACTCTCCGCCTCCAACGCATGAATGGCAGTCTTCAAGTTTCGCCTAGCATCATTCAAACAGAGACCTCGTGGATTGCGACTTGAGATGGCCGGCACAGGTGCGAGCTCTCCGAGAAACAGCGTGCTCGAGACGAGTCGCAGGAGTACGAAGTCTGGGTCGGAACAGCGAGGCCACGTTTGGCCTCCTTCCTGGGTATCGGATCACCAGAGCAGCGGGTCACATTCACATCGGCTGATGACATACCCTTGAGCCATGCAATATCACAGGCGCAGACGCATTCGGATTTGCATTAAACTTCACTGGTGGAAGTCGCCACCGCCCCCCCCCCCTCCCCTTCCCCCTCTGTTCTTTGCTTTGACGCTTATTTTTATATTGCATTCTTTTTTTTGCATATAAGCATGTTAGGGCCTTACGCGGGTTCGCAGTATCCCGCTCATTTTATTTCTGAACAACTGACTCCCTGACTGGCTCGGTATAGCTGAACGTAAAAATTAAATAAATAAATAAATAAATAAAATATAAAGAACCTGGCCCATTCCATTTCCATTCCATTCCGGGCAAAAGGCATTCAATTCCATTTCCATTCCATTCCCCTCAACGTTGCCGCCATTCCATTCCCATTCCATTCCGGGGTCGCGAAACTGCGGAATGATTCCGGAATCATTCCAACTCCGGAGTGGCAACTCCGCAACACTGGTGAGTACAGCAAGAAGCGGCGAGCGAAGGTATGCGGGACCACCGCTAAGAGAAACAACCGGAGCGGTGGGTTTGAGATGGACCCTAGAGTTCCTGTCTAGGCTCCCTACAGGAGCCAGAGTTGCGCATTTGTTTTCCCCGCGCCGCCACGCCGCTATTCGCCGAGGTCCATCACGTGAGGAGCAAAGCATCCGTTGGCGTGCAAGAAAGCCACCTTCACGGTCGCTCCGCCGACGTTTCTCTTGCCCCGGCGTATGTTTCCCTGCTTTCCGCCTCCTTTTCCTCCTCTCCTGTTTTCCATGCGCGGCGGCGCACGCGGCGCCGCTATTCGCCAAATTTAGTCACGTGAGGAGCAAAGCATCCAGCTCGTGCGGGAAAGCCGGCGCTACGGCCACGCGCCGAGGCTGAATGCGCAACTCTGCTACCGTAGGTAGCTATACAGGAACTCTAATGGACCCGAAACTTAGGCGCCATCTATCCTCGTGCAAGTGAAGGGGTCGGTGCGCCGAACATAATGTGGTCGCCGCGTCGGACAGAGATTCATCACCTAAACGTCTCTTTCACGGTGACCTTGACGGCATAGGATAGGCAACAGGCAACCTGGCTGTTTGTTCTGGCTCCGAGTTGAGGGGACAAACAATGCTCATACTTTCGTTTTTTTTTTTTTTTGTGATTGCCATTTTTTAGAACGCAAAAAAAAACTAAGGCAATTTTATTCAGTTATCATCTTTAGGGGGTGGCCAGATTAGGACAAGCACGGCTCTCTCCTTAAGCACATCATGACCACCTCCCAGAAGATGAATCGTAGACAAACCAGAACTTTCTTAACGAGCGCCGAACAAGGCGTGTCGAAATTAAGTTTATCCGATCTTTCTTTCCCCTAGTGAAAAAAGTCATTTGTATCAGAAATGTCTCCTGTCAAATAAACACATATGAATCACACAATATATATATGAACGTATAAGACCATATAAGAATCACATAAGATATATAAGAACTATATAAGAAATATATAAGAAACCTCTCCCAGGTTTCTTATATGTTGCTTGTATATTCTTATATATCTTATACAGTTCTCATACAGTTCTTATATGGCTCTCATATGGTTCTTACATGTTCTTATATATCTTGTATGAATCATATGTGTTTATTGGACACAGAAATTTCTCATACCAATAAGAATTTTCAATAGGGTCTCTGCAAAGTTATTAACATTCCAGCCCGATATCGTTTCATGCCCCTTTAACAGGCTGCTAAGACCGCCAATCTTGATGGCGTGGATCGCACGTCGCAAAAAAACTGTGGAAGTGCGCCATCAACACGCGCTCAGCAGTCGCGCACACAGCTGTGGCCGCCAGTGAATACTCCCTATGGACCTTTTGCACACGCGCCAGATTACTGCCGCCATTGCTGACCTTCTCTTGTCTTACCGAGATACCGAGCCACCGAAACGGACGCTGACGAGCCTCTACAAAGGTCAGTGCTGGGGAGAAAGACACAGTAGAATCTAAAGTGACAATAACCTGGCCTGCTAGGGCAATGATGAATTGAAGTAAACGGAATACGAAGAAACAAAAACTTAAAGTCGGTCATGGCGGCGCCCATGCACAGCTGCTGCAAAGCGTGTATACTTGGTATACTTCGTCTCACCTTAGCATGAACTATTGTTAGGAGCTCATGTTAAAAGCACGAGCTAGTTGCTTTGGATGAAGCGTCGGCGTCCGCATGAATGCTCGTGCAGCGAGTGCTGAGGGAGAGGAGAGGCGAGAACGCTTGGGAGCGTCTGAACGCTTAACTCTGCTTCAAATGATTAGTGAGTAGATCCAGTGTTGGACGAAATACTCGATAAAAGTATTTAAGTTAAGGTACTAAATACCTACTTCATAAAGTATTTAAAATACTACTCAAGTTACTTTCACTGTAAAGTATTTTAAGTAGACTACAAATACTGAGAAATGTAATTCAATTACTTGTGAAGGTACTTCCGCATTGTGTATTTTGGATAGACGTCATTGAGAAACACAATTATACAGTTGCGCAAATCTGGATTACCACAATGGTTTATTAGCACTCAACGACACAAAACCAAAAAAAAAAAAAAAGAAGACATCGTAGGGCTATTTTATGCAGCCAAAACCATAAGGAGCAGAACATCACTAATACATGTTACAAAACATTTCTGGGACAAAAAAAAAAAAGAGATCGCTTTAGTTATTTGCAACTTTCACGACCTATAGGGGCGCGCTGGCGCCTATCAAAATGGCTGTCATTTTGATGATCGTCGTACAACAACAGTACCAGACGGGGTCTGCGACACGTAATTAATTCTAGTTTAGCTTCATACGAGTAGTATTAGAGCCTTAACTTATTTTTCCCCCTGGAAGGTGTCGGCAAGCACCTTTCTTGTGAAGCCGATCATAAAGAAGCTAGGGAGCGCGATTCTCACACCGCGGTACCACCATCGCTGAATGTTGCGAATAGTGACGTCGCTGAATATCACGTCCTGCGGAGGGCCTTAGACGCATCGTTTAGCTACAATCTATATTTCCTATATGGGGAGTTCAATATAAATAAACTTGGGATATGGAAATGAGAGAATGGATGACAAAGAGAGCCCACATAATAGCCGCGGCACTGGTCACACCTTCTTCAAGTAGGTTGCATTCAGAAAGGCACTCAACGTTGGGGGACGCCTTGTTGGCATTTTGAGAAGTCGTCCTGATAGTAGTTAATTTCCTTTCCTTTTCTCTGATGAGCAATGTTCGCTTACAGAGAGTGCTCGAGAGAGCAATAAGTGCCTGACTGACGACAAAAAGAAAAGAAACAAAAGAAATCTCGACGTTTTCCCGTAGCGGGCTAAAATAAGCAACAAGCAAAAAGAACTTGGATTGAGCGGGTTGGTAATAAATTCAAAAGTATACGAAAAAGTCAGACGAAGAGGATGTTTGTCCTGTCCGTCCTCTTCGTCTGACTCTTTCGTATATTTTTAAAGCAAAAAGAAGTGTTTTCTTTTTGTGCCCACATCTCATTTTCTTTTTTTTTTTTGCACCCTGAAGTTGGCATTGTTGTCGTGGGTCTTTTCCTGTTCTAAGTTGCGCCTTAGTGAGGCAATCTTTACTTCCGTAAACCACCCGCTTTGTTTGAGGATTTTTAGGGGAAAACTCTAGGGAAAAATAAAGTCGTTTTTGCGAAGGCGAGGGGGAAAACCTTCATTGTTACTAATTAACTTTGGGATGAAATATGAGTCACAATCGGTACTAAGGCGACGTTTTCACGAGCTCAATCAAATTAACCTTAGCTAATCGTCGCTAGCAACAGGATTTGGTTTCTCGAAAGAATGATTAAGTTTGCACCTGCCACGCCCACGCCTCTTGATACCAAAAAGACTCGGAAGATGGCGGAACGTCAAAATCGTATTTGAGATAATGACTACAAGATACTCAGAAATGCAATTAAAATGCAGTCTCCAATACTCTCGATGAAAAGAATTTGCAAGATACCAAGATTCTTCAAAAAGAAATTGAAATGCAGTATCTTGAGTAGAGTTATTTGAGATAAGCACAAGTCTGGGTAGACCTAAATCTCTGCCTTTCTCTACACTGCGTTCGTCGGTCGCTTTAGAACGTAGAACGGCGGCGTCCGGGTCTCCCATTCCAACGCGCTCGACGAGTGCAGTGGAGGCAAAGCCCTACCCAATCACAGATCGGCCTTCAGGCCTACCCAATCACAAAGCGGCGTTCTGACGTCTCCTCCTCGCCCTCGTTTTCTCGCCGCCTTGCCGCCCTTGAATTAGTTACATCTGCTGTTGTCGGCGAGATGTTCCCATGTCGCCATCTTATGGATCCTCCCTGACCGTCACGAACAAGTTCATTAGAAGCGAGCGACAAGTTGGATGGTACGTAAGAAGCGCGGCGGAAGCCTAGTCGTCATGTTCCTGAACCGACACCGTCAGGGTTGAGAGACTTTGCTCTTATTTCCGTCGACGAAAGCAGAAATCATCCTGCCCAAGACGTCATAGTGAGCGTTTGGCCTATCGTGGAAGGCTGATCACAGTGAGTTTCTTGGTCGCGCACCTCGCAGCTCGCAGCTGTGGAGTATTTTCAGCACAAGCGAGAAGGTTTTATGTAACGCAGGTTTTTTCGCAGCACCGCTCGCGCAAAGCGCCTACATCATACTACACACCTGCCGCAGAGCGCTGTTTGTCCTCCAAAAGAGGGAGAAAAAAGAAAAACAACGATGCAATTTTATCTACATTTGTGCAATCTACCGCTGAGCAGATGTTGCGGAGATGGCAGAAATTACATTACTTTAACGAAATCATAATAATTATATTTTTAATTGCGGTAATGAGTAATGTCATGAATACATTTTATGGACTGCTAATTTAGTAATTTAACGAATTACAGTCAGACGAAAATGTTTAGAAAATCCCTCATTACTTTTAAAATCACTATTGTTCAATAAGAGACAGTTTGCAAGCTCTAAGAGAAAAGATAATTGTTTTGCAGAGCAAAATGCTGTGAAAGAGGGAGAAAGAAAGTGAAAACCTCAAAAGAAAAAAAAAAAAAAACAAGCGAAGGTCCATTTTCGCGCAAAGCCTCTTACGCTGCGCGCAACAAATGCACAAAGGTGGACTCGAAAGGCGAAGCAGATAGAAAAAAAGCTCTCCTGAGGAGATATCGCTGGAAGGCCACGGTTCACGAAACTCCCGACAATGCGGATTCGCGCCATCACGTCATCCGGATGGTAAAGGCTACAATGCGAAGAGCTCGCCACCAGTAAGGTCAAACCATTTTAAAACCTGAGCCAACAGGAAATTCAGATCCCCAGCCTTGCTCTTTCGTCAAGCGAGGTCAAGCCGTCAGCCTTCGACCATTGCGATCTAAACAACGACTGGGCTCAATAGTTAGTCTCAAATGCATTCTCAAGGATCCAAACCGTTTCCCGTAGCCTTGGCCCTGGCAAGTAAATATATATATATATATTTATTTTATTTTTTTTGTAGTCGTAACAGACGGGAAGCGAGCAAAAGTAGGTACCGCACGCAGTTATCTCTCTTCATTTTTCTCGGTAAGTTTCGTCAGGAATGAGCGAACGCGAAAATATTGCCACTCATCCGTTGGAAAGTAAAAATTTTAGAAAGCTCCTGCGACCCCTTCCCTTCCCTGGCGGTGTGTCTGCCCAGCAAAAATTCGTCCCCCTTGAGTGACAGCCCGGATAACTTCTATGTGTCTTGGAACAATACTGCACGACAGAAATACGCGGTAATCCGGGTATTTCTATATACACACACACACATATATATATATATATATATATATATATATATATATATATATATATATATATATATATATATATATATATATATATAGGTGGTTTAATCTCAAATCGTGCAGGCAAAAAGGGTCGAATTTTTAATTCCGCTGAAAAAAAAAATATGTTATGGTGTCGTCTCTAAAACCGCAGTAGCCACAAACCGCGAGTTCGTCAGATTTTTTGTTCTAGACTTACGAATTTTAAAAGAGGCCGCGGCGGAAAGCAGTGTTTTTCACATGCGTCGCGGGTCATATTTCAAACGCTCTAATACCATGAAATAGCTTTAAGCGTTTTACTTTTTTTCGTATGTATCGGAGAGCCGTTAACACTTCAAATTTCTGCCAATTTCTCTTTTCTTCGCGCCCCTTTTTTTTTTTTTGGCTAGAATATTTTTTTTTACATTGTTATAAACGACTTGATCGATTGAATTGATAGTATTAATTTTGATCTCCCAAATACGGCAGAACAGACCTTAGGTCTAGCAAGATTTCATTGCGAGGGTCACCTCATAAATGGCGCCAGTGTGCCACTGTCTCCTCTCGTCGTAGGTAGAGCCACTAAATAATCTGCGCTTAGAGTATCGGCACTCCGTTCCCCGACATTGTTGTGGGCGCCGCCATTTTGGCTCGTATGCAGAACAGACGCAACGGCCGATCGTCATGATTCAAAAGTGCGACTTCCTCGGCATTCGGTTCGGTGTTAGGAAGGTCACGTAATATTGCTTTGCTCTGTCGCGAACGCTTTAAACATTTGTGGAGGGCGGAAAAGCATATCCTGTGATTTCAGATAAAGCTTCAGATAACTGGCAACCATGATTTTAAGACACAATATGGCCAAGTGCCGTTATTCTGAAGCATAGCTTATTTAGTGGCACTAGTCGTAGTATATCACAAGAGCCAAGAGTTCCGGGGATACTCCTCCTACCCCTTTCCTCTTCAGCAGAGCCAACTCTAGAAAGGACGCACCCTCGTCTACAGAGTTCGCTCTGCTAAACTGTGAAGAGATGCGAGGAGCTTCCACTGAACCCTTTTCGTTATTCGAAAACCTTTGTGCTTTATTAGTTTTTTTTTTTGTTGTTTTTTTTCACTCAGATTGCTTCCCTGAATTTACTCTCGTCATCCAACTCGTTCTGAGGGTCATTGAGAGCGTCCAGAAACCTGCTGTACGGAAGCTTCAAGATGCCATTGCTCCGATTATCTACGCTCGAAAATGGGATGCATCGGTGAGTAAGTAGCATATATCAGATTGGGGGGAGGGAGGGAGGGGGGGGGGGGAGGAAAGAAGGGGGGGTCTTCAAATAAATCCGCGAGCCAAGTCAGTGAGTGCCTCGATCGCGCCTCCGACTGGTGTTTTTACTGTGTCCTCTTTTGTGGACCCTCGATGTTCACCTGATGACGTCACACTCGTGTCGCGCTGTTGGCTGCCGCTATCCTGGCAATGACAAACCAGCCGCGGGGGGGGATGCGCGGCAGGTGCTTGTTTACATGGTGAGGTAGGAGAAATGAAGCCAGGTTTTTCGAGCCACACAAACGAACTGCGCATTTCCGAAAACAGAAAAAATCCGTCGAAATGAGACGCAGGTGGGGATGGAATGGCAAATTTTCAAAGCATAACGTTATGTCGCCTCTCTGTGAGGCGACATGTACGTAAGCCTAATTTCGTCAAAACAGGAAATGAGACTGTGGGCACCTGTGGCATTCACTGCAGTCAAACAGAGCTGTAATAATAAAAACAATATTTCTTTATTGCTAATAAGTTTGTTTCCTCGTGTGTGTATATATATACAGGGTGTTTCAGAAAACGCAGGCCAAATCTTTCTTGCGAAAACTACTCATCGCAACGAAAAAAGGCATTTGGCGTTGTGGTCCTGGGTAGGGCCCATTTAAGAAAATTATTATTGTCGGGGATAATTAACTTTTTTAATATTGTTTTTAAGGGCATGGTTTAGATTAGAAAATTGCTCAGCATCATCGAAAACCACTAAACCAACAAATTGCAGAATGATAGAAGGCACGCGAAGCATTTTACGGCTTTCTGAAAAACCGCACAAAATTGACGAGTCTTAAGTTTCGAATTGCTATCAGAGCGCATCTCAGCCCCGGCGGCACCGCGCCCCATGGAGAAATAGTGCAACCGGACTCTACTGCGTCGCGCGATGACAGCTCACCAGAGGTTGGTTGCACCATCTCTTCGCGGGGCGCGGTGCCGTCGGGGCGGAGATGCGCTCCGATAACAAACCGAAACTTAAACACCCGTCAAATTTGGGCGGTTTTTCAGAAAGCCGTAAAATACTTCGCGTGCCTTCTATTGTTCTGCAAATCGTTGATTAAGTGTTTTTCGATAATGCTGAGCAATGTTCTAATTTAAACCATGCCCTTAAACACAATATTAAAAAAGTTAATTACGCAACAATAATTAACAACTTAATGATCCAGGACTTTAATTTTTTTTTAAAATAGGGCCTTGGCCCAGGACCAAAACGCTACAAGTCTTTTTTCGTTGTGATGAGTAGTTTTTGGAGCAGCTATTTGGCCTGCGTTCTCTGAAACTCCCTGTATATATATATATACATTGTCATTTTTTCTTTTGACACACTTATGCTCAGGTGAACGCCTGCTCATGGAAAGATTTCAATCGTCTTTCCTTTTTATTTGGCGATCCAGTTAACGCCATGATCTCAAACTTTCACATTCTATCCCCACCCCTTGAGTGATATTCACACAGAGTTTCAGCTTTTTGCAATGCCTATAGGTTTATTTTATGAAGGAGAACAAAACACGAATTTCATATTTCCGAACAAAGCCGCTAGTGTAGGTGGCCCTCCAGCTTGAGAGGTTCGAAATGAGACGTGGTGTGCCTAGATTTTAGAGTGCTTCCAACCGCTTGATCAGGGTAGCAACTGCGAGGTGGGGACGAAAGCGTTGACCGCCTACAAGCGTCTCTGTCCGCTTTTCTCCTCGCAACGCGACAAGGCAACGCGTACGTACTTGCGTCCAATCTGTCCAGGAGGTGTCTTCCATCAAACTGTAAACGCCCTCCATTGTATGAGTTGCGCCCTCTCTAAGATCGAGGACCTCTGAAGAGACGCTGTGACGAGAGTGGCCATTGTTTCTGCTCGCCTTTTTCGCCAGGACTTCCGCAATTATCCGCCAGGATCGCCACATCCGACAGCATGACACGCCGCTTCATGTAATGTCGTTTGTTCCCACGTCGAAACCAGCTTTGATGCATTGGTGCTGTAGGACGCTGAACACGCATCAGTCAGAGACGCGCAAGTCACTGTAACTGAATCGTTCAGAATTGGAATCGAAATACAACGTCGAGTTGTGCAACAAAAGGTGTAGAGTAGCGCAGTGTTCTGAAAAATCCGGAAGAAGAAACTTTCGCTGGTATACATTTGTTTTTCTTAAATCTAGAACGAATTATGTATATTGAGTCTGCGGGTAAAAACGACCTATACACTGAAACCTGTTTTTGAAACCTTTTAGGGGATGTTCCGTTTTGACCCAAAGTCTCAGGACTTCTGTCATGCTTAATATTCACCAGCTCGTTTGCGTCCTTACATTCAGTTCATTAAATCTGGTATTTTACTAACATAAACATAAACATAATGAATAGGTTTTTTTTGTCCTTTATTTTAAACAACTGAAAAATCAGTACGAAAGCTGAAAAAATTAAAGAATTTCAAAATGTATATTTTCTAGATCAAAGCAAGCAAACACTCGCAAGAATTAAGCAAATATAAATCGCTTGGAAAACCACACTGAAAAACATCTTCGTAATCATTCCATATGCTAATTATTAGTCGTTGAGTCCGTCGTAAACAACCCTGATGATAATAAGCTTATATTTATTTGAATATCTTTATGCAGTGATAATAGCGTAATTCTAATATATGTTAATAGTAACAATGACTGTTACATACTTTGTCATTCAGACTAACTTGTGACGCTTTCTTTTAATATATATATATATATATTTTTTTACATCCTCAAGATTAGAGCACTGCTTTTATATAGATATAGATTTCCTCAGCATTACATACAGATGTTTTCATAACGCAATAAATGGGCACTGCTGAACTCTGGTATCCTAGGTTAAATTCCCATCCCTGCCTGTTTAGATCTGGATGAGCATCGTGCCGACGTGCTGTCTTGTATCACGACTGCCTGATGCACGATGCACATTGAAGAGACCATAGAATGCATTCTGGGCTGGAATAAATGATTTTAGATAGAGATTTTACTAATCGGATATCGTTTAGTGAATTAAAGGAAGACAAGTACATGCGGGTACAAAGCCAAAGGCCTGCTTTTCGGTACGAAATATTCAAAGTATAGCGGACTATTTCTTGTCATCCTTTCCTTCGAACGCTCCCTGCCTTTTCACTGTTGTACATTCGCAGTACCCAAGCAATTCATCCGAACCCAGCTCACGCGTTGGACGCGAGCAGTGCGTCACTCGGACGTATGCGCTCGTCAACAATCAATATGTCAACGAATATTTAAATTCGCGTTCGTGGCCAATGAATGCTGTGACGGCACACATCATCATTTTGAATGACGAGTTCCGCGGTATGCTTAAAAAGCACGGTGGAAGCTCGGAGTCATCGCCTTCCGAATCCAACACCGTCAAAGTTGACAAGCTTACAGCGTTATGATCTACGTCGATGAAAAGAAACGCGGCTAGCCACGCAGTCCCTCAGACGGCTGTAAGAACTTCCGGTTCCGGTGAAGTGCTACGTCACGACTATGGGGTCGCTTATTTCGCTTTTGAGTTGAGGAGGAAAGGTAAACAGGAAGAAGCTTAAGAAAATAATTCCACGGCCCCTTTAAAGGCCCCAGGCTAGCGGTGGTGCTGCACTGGCTAAAGTTCTCATCCACAATGAGACACAAGACGCCCACTGGGGGTTGACTAACATCCTGCTGTCTAAACATACACAGAACTCAAAATATTAATGGTATAAATAGAGAGGAGGATAGAAACACATAGAGTAAGAAAAAAAAAGTAACTGCCAAGCGGTAAGTAATATCCTTTTTAAACACATATAGAAATTGCTACGACTTTTTCTTTCTTTCCTTCTTTTCAAAATGGTGAAGGAACACAAGAAAAGGGACTTGTTGCAGTCTCTAATCGACGCAATGGACAGGAACTGCGGAGGCTCCAATGCAGCTGGTGTCCCCATTGGAACCGATGAGGGTAGGGATGATCATTCAAGCATCGGCTCTTATTACAAGTGTGCAAATTCCGACCGCCTTTTAACACAGAACGCAATAACAGTAAATGCTATCTAGAAAAAAGTGACACAAAAAAGTGACACGCGGAAATTCGACAAAAAGTCCTATTGAAGTTCGGCTGTTCTCCGCATGGGTGAATTTTGGATGGATGAATGGATGGATGGATACGGCTGAACCCTTTTAATCGGGCGGCTGCTTGCGCCACCTAGTTAAAGCTTCTAAATCCAACAACTAACTAATATCTCATGAAAATTATTTTTAATACAGAAAGGTAAAGAATCTCATATCGCCGCTAAGCACAAGCATCCATCTACCATTTTTCACGACCATCAAAAACGAGCTGGCCCGCCACCTACCGAAGGAGGTGTGCCATTTTTTATTTGGCACATTGTAGTATTATAAGACCACGGGCTGGCCAGCTAGTCTTCGGGGTGATGAGGTGCCGTTCACCTAAAGGCAGGTTCGCCGGGACATCGCTGGATGCGTGAGGTCCGACTCACCGGGCTGCGGTGTGGGTTCCGGGAGACGGCCGGTCATTTCGGAGCGGCAATTCCTCCGACGACATCAGATCCCGCAGGAGCAAGCCAACGGACACGTTCGTTCTGGATTGTGGTCTGAGCGTGTCCTCGAGCGATCGGCGCGATCGCTCGCCTTTTATTGACTTTATAACAATGGGAACCGCTACCCAATCAGTGCACTCGCGTGATATGATCTGACGTAACTTTCTCTTTTACACATCACTACATTCTCCCTCTCTTATATGAAATAGCGATAAACATGTCTGTTAATAACCAGAGCATTAATTTATGATACTTTTCCCTTTCTTTAAATTAATGAGCCAACCGTTACTGAAAATGGACTAGTCAAACTATTCAAAAAAAAAAAAAAACTTAAGATGTAATTTTAGACAGTTAAAATTGCTGTGATACTAACAGTTGTTAGACATCCTATGGTTTGTAACCAATAACTAGACTAACCAAAAACTAGTAAGCGCTTGGCTCTAAACGCCTTTAGGAGGCAGGTTAGTACCCTTTCTCGTTAAATAATCACTGACTCGCGTTATGCAAGTTACTATAAGTTACTCTAGGACTTCCGTTATGCACTGCAATAATGTCTTAAAACTAGCGTTATGCACTTAAACAAAGAGAGAAGAAAAATATATTACATCTGTGGTTCTTGTCCAATTTCGTGAATCATGTCCATAAACGTATTACTGTTATTTACACTAAGAAACGAAAGTACGTAGTCTTTCAGTCTTCCTGGAAGTCTGCGTTGCCGCGTAGAACGCCTTGGAACAGCAGGCGATGCTTGATGACCAGCTTGAGATTGTTCGCGTGGTTCACCAGGCCCTGAATCCATGGCAGAGCGGTGTGGTACAACTGGTACCACTGAAGACACAGCCACAACCGCGGAATCACTCACGTCACTTCGTGAAGATTCGAGAGGCGGCATCGACTGTGGTGTCTCGGGGCGTGATGCCGCAGGGGTGCTTGTGTCGACGGGGTCAAAATACTCCACTGATACGTTGGCTGGAAGAATCTTTACGGGCTCCGGCCGGGCTAGAAGAGCGACCGCTGTTCTCTCATCAGCCGTCGTAGACTCAGGAGTTCTTATTACCAGGTCATTTGATGTGGTCGGTCTCCTTGAAGCTGTAGGCGATCTAGTCGCTACGTAGATTTTTGGGAACTTAAGCGTGTCGGTGACTGAATCGTCGTCATCATCATCGTCAAAGTAATCTACTCGTTGCAGTTGTTGGTTTTCTGTATTTCTTCTGCTTGCGTGTGGCGCACTTGCTTGATCTTGAAGAGGTGCAGGAGCGAGTTTCTTAGCGTTCCACTTCCGTCCGTCGCTAAACTGATACGTGGCAGGGCCAACTTGCTTTTCAATCACTTGCGGACCTGTGTATTCGCTGTGCAACTTGTCGCTGTATTGTGGACGAAAAATTCGGACGGCTTGGCCGGCTATGAACTTCGGCCGTCTCACAGCTCGTCTTGCGTCCGAGTAAATCTTCATTTTTGTCTGGTACCTCTTGACTCGCTCTTGGAGCTGAGACGTGCTTCTCTCTGGCACCTTGGGTGTCGGAAGACCCTGTAGATCCAGTCTTGATCTATGTACTCGTCCGTGAAGAAGGACTGCAGGAGTCTGACCCGTTGCTGGGTGAGTAGTACGCCTGTACGCTTCTAAGTAGTCGCGAACTGCTTCAGGAAGTGGTCGTCCTTGAACTGTTGCCAGTTGTAAACATGACTTTAGTACTCGATTGAACCGTTCAACTTGCCCATTTGCTTGCGGATGATACAAGGAGGACTTGAGGTGCATGATACCTTGCTGTTTCAAAAATTCTTCGAACTCCCTAGAGACGAACTGAACGCCATTGTCCGTGACGAGCTCTCGGGGCAAACCTTCCCGGGCAAAGATGTTTTGTAGAAAAGTAATCACCGTAGCTGTTGTCGCCGCTGATGTGTGTTGAACTTCAGGCCACTTCGAGTGATAGTCAATCAGGACAAAGAAATATCTTTGACTTGGTGGAGCTCCGTCGATGGGACCCACGATATCCAAACCGAGCTTGTCCCATGGTCGCTCTGGGAACTCGACCGGCTGAAGAGGAGCAGGCGCTGCTTTAACCGGCTTGTCTGTTGCGTTACAAACGGTACAGTGCTGTACTTTAAACTTGATTTCGGCGTCCATGCGTGGCCACCAGTAGCGGTCTCTGATGACGCTGATGGTTCTCGTAATTCCTTGATGCGTCTCGTGCGCGAGATTGATGATATTCTCTCTGAGTCTTTCTGGAACAACTACTTTCTCCCCTTGTAACAATAAGTCGTTGTGAACGGATAGCTGGTCCCTGACGTTAAAGTAAGGGCGCAGTTCAGGTATACTGGTGCTATCTTGCGGCCAAGATGACGCTGTGTAGTGCATCACACCGGGCAGAACCGGGTCGATGGCCGTAGCTTCTTGAAATTCTGAGCGTGATATAGGAGCAATCACGAAGGAAACTATGTCTTCGTCAAAATTCATACCATTCTCTGTGTCTGAAAGGGGAAGTCTAGACAACGCGTCGGCAACGAGATTGTCGGCACCTTTCTGGTACTCCATACGAAAATTATAATTCAAGAGACGCGAAGCCCATCGAGTTATACGCAAAGGGCGAACCCCAGAGCCTTTGTTAGACAACAGCGTGACTAACGCTTGGTGGTCCGTTCGAATGGTGAATGGCCTACCCCAGAGGTACACATGCCATTTTTCACATGCCCATAAACAAGCTAGGGCCTCCTTTTCTCCCGTAGAATATCTACGTTCAGCGTCGGTCAGCGAGCGTGATGCGAAAGCAACCGTCCGAAGGTTTTTCCCGTACTTCTGCTGCAAGACAGCTCCTAAGCCATAGTTTGATGCATCCGTCGATATTATGACTGGTAGCGTCGGATCAAACATGAAAAGGATTGGTGCGTTCTGAATGCATGATTTTATCTTGGCAAAACTTGCCTGAGCTTCAGGGGACCAAACGAACTGTACGCCTTTGCGGAGCAAACGACGCAATGGTTCGACGATGGTCGAACAGTGGGGTATGAACTTACTGTAATACTCAATTAATCCCAAAAATGCCTTCAACTTCGACGGGTCTGACGGAGTTTCGAAGTTCCGGACGTCGTCTACTTTTGATGGAAGGGGTGCTAAACCATCCATTGAAAGACTGTGGCCCAGAAACGACAACTCGCGTACGTTAAAAACGCCCTTTCGATTAAGTTTCATTCCCGCTCGAGAGATTGCGGACAAGACTTGACGCAAGTTCGAATCATGCTCTTCCTGTGAAGACCCGTATACAATGATGTCGTCTAGGTAAAATTGGACGCCCTTACAATCTTTTAGAACCCTAGACATGATCTGCTGAAACGCTGCGGGAGCGGACGCCAAACCAAAACAAACTCGCTTGAAGCGAAATAATCCTTCGTGAGTGATAAATGCCGTCAGGTCTCGGCTCACCGGGTCGAGTCGGATCTGGTGGTAAGCCGACGCCAGGTCCAGCTTCGAAAAATGAGATGCTCCGTGCAATGAGTGGAGGAGCTCCTCTATGTGTGGCAGTGGAAAGGAATCTATGACGACGGCTTGGTTGGGCGCACGCAAGTCGACGCACATCCTGATGCTGCCATCCTTTTTTCTTACTACAACGATTGGCGAGACCCACTCTGACGCATTTATTCTTTCGATGACGCCTTGGCGCTCGAGCTTGAAAATTTCTTCTGAGACCGCTTCACGCAGACTGATGGGTAGGCGACGTAGCCTGGACTGTACTGGAGGTACGTTTTGGCGCACCTTGACAGTGTGTGTCTGGTTTCGTAGCAGGCCAAGTTCTGATGTTAACAGATGCTCGAACTCCTCGAATCCGCGTGGAAGTTTTGACGTATCTTGTACAGGAGGACTTGAAGCTTGTGTACAGCTCACCGCAGGCTGCTTCACCTTCGTGGAAAACTCGTCCACGCTGTCTGTACTTGGGGACTGTGATCGGGCGGCGCTGGTGACCAGTGGTGATCTTGACTGAGGGTGGGCAGCGTTACTACCTGGTGGCACTGACGATTGGCCTGAAGGTTGTGGACCAATGCCATGGGCCTTCGGTAGATTTGCCCGTAACTGACTTGAGCGCTGCGACGATACGGTGAACGGGCGCCGCTGACGGTCACCCGCCGGCCTCACATCAGAGCGTGGCGTTTGGCCTGGGTCAGCTGCATCCAGATGAAAACATTCAAATTCAGCTCCTGATAGCCGAAGTTTCAATTCTCTGACGGCGTCAATACCAAGTAGAGAACGTCCTCCACGAATGACGTAAAAATCTAGTGGCGTCTGTCGGTTTTTGAATACGACTTGAGCCGTGAAACATCCCAACACAGGAATCGGTTGATGCAGATAATGCATAAGCCGTCTCGTAGGCTTCCGTAAGCGGATCTTTCTAGTCTTGTTAAGTTGCTCGAA